CCACTTCATTTCTAAAGCTCTCATCAGCTCCTGTAGGACTTGTGAAGAAAACAGCTTCCCTTATCTGAGTCTATGTTCTGCACAATCCCACATCTAGGGGCTGTTGCTCCAAAAACGTCCTTGTTACTACACTAGTGGTTGCTGACACTGAGGGATAAGCTTCCATCCAACCTGACAAGTGATCTACTAATAGTAACAGATACTTGAACCTTCCTACCTTACCTACTGTTCAGTAAAATCTTTTGTATACTGTGGAAAGGCCTAAGTCCTGGTTCCCTTCCACCCAGGGTTTGTTTTCTCATAGCTTTTCTGTTTATTTGCTGATGTGTTACACAGCTATTGCATATCTACTTTGCTATTGTATACAATCTTACACACACATACTTTGTCTGTACAGCATCACACACTGCTTGCACTCCCCAGTGACTTTCCTGATGCAAAAGAGTTAAAATTTCTCTCATTACCTGTTTACCATTTCCTACTGAGGTACGCATAAGGCATCACGAGGCGTGCTCTCAGCATCACCTTTGGGAAAGCAGGTAATGGAGCTGGGTGGTGGTTTGGGGTATCGCTGCGGGGTGACGCTGCGTGCTCACACTTGGCTGACACTGGGGTGATGTTGGGGAGTGGCAGCGGGGGTTGGTGTTGGGATATCACTGGGGGTGACACTGTTGGGGTGATGCTGGGGAGTGGGACATCATTGGGGTGACGTGGGGTTGGGATCCTGGTGTCATGTTGGGAGTGCTGCCAGGAGGTGGCATTGTTGGAGTGATGCTGGGGTCACGTTGGGGCACGATGTTGGGGTAACACTGGGGGACATGCAGGAGTAACGTTGGGGGTGAGGCGGTTGGGGTTCTGCTCCACCTGGGCTCTGTACCACGCGCTGGCCATGTGGGTTCTTACTGCTACGTTTAACGTCAAAGAGTGACGCTGCGGGGAGATACCAGGGTTGGGGTGACATTGCTGGGCTGATGTCAGGGACTGAAGCTAGGGTGACATTGGGATGAGGCTGGAGTGACATTTTTGGGGAGGTGCTGGTTAGGTGACAGTGGGCTGATGTTGGGGTAGCTCTGGGGTTTAACATCAAAGAATGACACGGATGATTTTTGGGGGTAATACTGCAGTGACGCTGGGGAGAAAATTTTGGGGGGTGACATGGGCTTGACACTGCGGGGTCATGGGTTGATTCAGGAAGTGAAGCTGGGATGACATTGCTGGTGTGATGCTGGGGGAAGCTGGGGTGATGTGTGGGGGTGATGTTGTTGGGCAGTGATGTTGGGCTATCGTGGGGGGCGACATGGATGGGGTGATACTGAGGGGGTTCTAGAGTGGTGATACTGGGGTGCTGCTGGGAAGTGGCATTGGGCTATCAGTGGGGGATGACACCAGGGAGTATGCTGGGGTGACAGTGTTGGGGTGATGCTGGATGTGACCTGGCCATCTGTCCTCACAGCCCCAGTGAAGCACCAGAGGTGCTGGATGACAACACGGTGACATGAGTGTCCCTTTGTGCTACAGTGTGGAGGTGGTGGCCACCAAGTGAGGTGGAGGAACACCCCAGGACTCCTCTATGCCTCACAACCCCCAAAGAGAACCCTAGAATGGGAATACACCTGTGCCCCACATGGACACCTCAACTCTCCAGGCAGGAGGTCTCCATCCTGTACCTTAACTTCACCTCAGGACAGACCCACAGTGCAGAGCTGCAGCGCCACTACCAGATAAAGCCCCCCAATGCTCTCTATCCCTGCTGCCCCACAGCCCCCTGCCTTGCTGATCTCATGGACCTCTCTCATTAACCTCCCCCATGGCTCCTAGCCCCACTGATCAGACCTCCCACCCCTGCCCCACAACTACCCCCCCCCTCTCCCACCCCCCCGCTCCCGTTCCCCCCAATTCTGTTCCACATCTAGATGGTGCCACCCCTACCACCCGGTGCTCCCTGCCCCAAACCTCACTGCCTTCATTCTCCTGCCCCATGGCCTGGCCTGGCTGTCCCGTGTCTGTGCACTGAGCCCTACTGCTTCTCATGGTGTTCACTCCCACCCTGTGAAGCAGTTTTGTGGGGCAGTGAAGAGGGCTCAGTGCTGACCTTAGCTGTGGAGCTAGGGATCACTGTCCCTCCCACACAGGAGCATAGAGCTGAGTGTGATGAGAGGGAGGAAGAGCAGGAACTGGGGCTGCAGCAGGGCCTGGAGCAGGTGTAGAGTAGGGGAGGTGTGGGGGATTCTGTTGGAGTGGGAAGGATTCTATGGGGCTGGGGGGGCTGAGTTGGGACCTAGAGTAACTTTGGGGTCACTCTACCTCACTTAAGGGCATGAGGCCCACCTCTCCAGGGCTGTACCTCCCCCCACAGCACCCCCACCTCTTCCACTGCCCCCTGGGACCTCATGGGGGGGATGCAGTGATGCTGACTGCTGCAGTGTAACCCCCACCCTACATTCAGGTAGGGAGGCTGAGGGTAACAGATGGGGCTCTGTGGGGTGCTCTGAGTCTTGCTATGGGTCTCTAGGGAGCACTATGAGGTTCCTTGGTCTCTACTGGTCTTGTTCTGGGTCTTGCTATGTATCCCTACGGGGAGCTATGGGTATCACCGTGTATCCCTACAGGCTGCTATGGGTCCCACTATGGGTCCTGCTATGGATGTCCCTGCATGCCCCCAGCTCTGCACACTGCTATGGGTGCATTCTGGGGGTTCTATGGGGGTCCCTATGTGGCAGTCCCTAGGGGGAGTCTCAATGGCGGTATCCCTATGGTTCCTATCATGATGGGAGGGGCACAATTTGTTGGTTGCCATGAAGAGCAGCAATTAATTAGATCATTAATGATAGAGGTGAAGCTGCTGCCCACCCCCCCCCCACTGCTGGTGAAGTAACTGTGGCGTGTGGCGGGGTGAGCTCTGGTCTGGGTAATTAGCAGCAAGATAATTAGGCGCTCATTAGTGTGGGGGGGACAGGTGGTCATCAGTGCAGGAACTCAAGGGGAGGTTAGTGGGGTCACTAAGGGGGGGGTAGTAATGAAGTAACTCATTAATTACACACCCTTTAGTGGGGGAGTGATGGGGAGCAGTAATTAAGAGAGTATTAATAGGTACATAACGAGTGCAGGGTTAATTAGTGGAAGAGTTTTTTAGGAGGAATAATTATAGAGAAAATAATGGGGAACAAGGAGGGTTAATAAGGTATTAATGGGGATAAACGGGTGATGAATTGGGTGTTTATTCAGCGGGGCACGGATGAAGATTTAATGGGGAGTAATGGGGGGAATTCATCGGTGAGGATGAGCGGGGATGTATAAACTGGGGCATATATTAATTGGGCACATTGCGGGTACCGCCAGCGCAGGCGGGGTCTGGGGAGGGGGGAACAGTGAAGGGGCGGGGCGCTTCGAGAGCGCAGAGCTGATGGGGGGGGCGGGGGCAGTGAGGCACACGGAGTCGCCCGGACCTCCCCCCCATTAGATGCCCCGACCCTCCCCACGCTATTTCGGGGCAAACCTCAGCCCCGACCTCACACATATCTGCCCCCCCACCTAGTCCCAAGTCCCACATCTCATCCGCAAACCTGCCCTCAGAGCCCAAATCCAGGTCCCAAACCCTACATCTAGACCCCATACCCCGAGCCTCACAACAGGAATCCACATCACAAACCTACACCCCACATCCGGATTCTGAACCCACAACCATCGCCGGATTTAGGTCTGGGTTTCAGGAGAGATGTGGGGCGGGGGGGGTGGATTTGGTGCTTGGGGCCCGGCTAAAGGGAGCGATTTGGAGTCGCATCCCATCCGAATGTGGGACATATTCAGGACCTCTCGCCCAGAACCAGGACCCTACTCCGCTCCGACTTCCCCGCTCCAGCTCAACTATGGCACCGCTTCCGCCCATCCGGGGCCACTTGGCCAATCGGAGCCCTGAGCAGAGTCGGAAGAGGCGGGATAAATGGGGAGGAACATCTCAGCAGCCCTGGAGTTTTGTGGGTAGCGAGGCGGAAGTGCCGCTTTAGCAAGGCACCAGTCATGAGAACGGGAGCAGGAGGGAATTTCCGGGACGAGCACTTCCGTGGGCTGCGAGGGATTATGGGTAGCGTGGCGGAAGTGCACCGTCAGGGAGATAACAGGACAGGACCGGAATTGTGTAAATTAACAAGAAAGCAATTGGACGGGAGCAGAGGTGAATGGAATAGAGCGGAAGAGAGTGCGTGGGGACCGGAAATTGGTTGGGCCGCGGCGCCGGATTTGCCGCTCTCTCTCGTGCCATGCCGCTGCGTGCTGTGTACCTCCTGAGCGCCCCCGGCCCCCGCGGCCGGCCTCGCACCTACGTAGGATTCACGCACGACCCTTGGCGGCGACTGCGGCAGCACAACGCGGGGCGGCAGAAGGGTGGGGCGCGGCGCACGAGCGGCCGCGGGCCGTGGTGGGTAACCGAAAGGCGGGGGTCCAGGGCCGGAAGTGCGGGCGATTCGGGGGGTGGCGGGCGTCACGTCACGGCCGATCTCTCCCCGCAGGCGGATGGAGCTCTACGTGCACGGCTTTCCGTCCGACGTAGCGGCGCTCCGGGTAGGACACGTCCCCCTTCGGCCACACCCCCACAGACCTTCGAGCAGCTCCTCGCTCTCGAGAGGCCCCGCTGCTCCCCCGGTCCCGTTCGCACATTAGGCGGATCTCTTTCTATGCGCCGCGCGTTATCTGAGCCCCATCTGCTGCGCCACAAGCCCCTCTCCCTTAGCCCCGCCCGTCCAGCGCTGCCGCACCCCCAAGCCCCGCCCAACCAGCGCTGTCCCACCTCCCCCAAGCCCCGCCCAACCTGCGCTGTCCCACCTCCCCTAAGCCCCGCCCAACCTGCGCTGTCCCACCTCCCCTAAGCCCCGCTGCTCCCCCAGCGCTCTGACTGCGCTCCTGCCCTGTTTCGTTGAGCCGCGCCTTCCGTGCAGTTCGAGTGGGCGTGGCAGCACCCCGCCGCTTCCCGCCGCCTCCAGGATGCTAAGCCCCGCCCCCTTCCCGGTGAGCAGCCAATCGCTTTCGCGCTTCGTATGCTGCCCCGCCTGCTCTGGGCCCCGCCCTGGCGCCGCCTCCCACTGCGCCTGCGCTGGCTCCGCCCTCAACCAGGCCCCGCCCTCCACCCGGCCCCGCCCCCCCACGTCGTTATGGAAATGGACCCGGGAGGGCCAAAGCCACGCCCCAGGAAGCGGCCCGCGACCACTTTGGCCACGCCCCCTGCGTGCACACTGTGTTTGGAGCCCTGCGAGGTAAGGCTGGGGGCTTGGAATCTCTGGGGTCGTTTGGAAGCATTTTGGGGGTCGGTCGAAGGAAATAGTGGTTCGTTCATGCGGTATTTTGGGGTCTCCCCTGTGTCACGCTGCAATGCTGTGAGGCACGTCTGTGGTGCTCAGGGCCCCTGTGGCACATTGAGGTCATTCCGAGGGGTCGGGGGGCTTTGAAACAGGTGATTTGGGGTCATGCTATGGGCTCTGAGGTCCAGGTGCGATATTGCACAGTCATTATTTTTGATGACCGGCCTCTATACTGGGGTTCTGAGGCCCCGTGGGGATGTCAAGGGTCAGCCTGGTGCCCATGGGATGGACCTGGTGTCCCGGGGGGGGGCGGGTCTGGGTCCCCATGGTTGCTTCAGGGTCATCCTGCCGAGTTCCTGGGCCTTTCAACTCCATTTGGGACACTCAGAGGAATTCTGAAGCGGTGCATTACAAAGGGGCGTGGCCTGGTGTGACCCCGCCTCCTCGATGCGGCTCCACCCCCAGGGCCGCACTCTCCGCTGTCCCCGCCCCCCCTGCCCCGCCCGCTGCCACGCCCGCTGCCTTGCCCCACACTTCCTGGGGGCGGAGCCGAAGGAACTGCTGCCGCTGGGTGGGACCTGCCCCAGGTGAGTGGGTGGGGCTTAGGGAAGGCGGGGCCAATTAAGTGAGCATGATCAGCGCTAAGCCCCACCCCCAGCTGCCAGCAGGAGGTGCTGTGGGGAGAGCTGATTGGCTGCGGGGATGGCGACGATGAGTGGGCGGAGCTAGGAGACCCTACCTTGGTAAGTCCCTCCCACCGGCCTCTGACTGCAGCCCCACTGCCCTGAGCACACCTTCCGTCTTTGAGCCCACCCGCTAACCTCTGCTCCCACAGGGCCATTGGACGGATGAGCTGCTGCAGGGCCAGCGGGCGGAACCGGAGTGAAGCCACCTCCCCCTCAGCGGCTTTCTAACTTAATTTATTCACAATAAAGCAACAGGTGGAACCGCTCCCAGCATCATTCTTTTGTATCCTGGAAAGGAATGGGGTCCTGGGGACAGATGGGGGCCGTTTGGATGGATTTGAGGTCGTTAAGGTCACTTTGGGGCCCACAGGGTCAGTTGCTTTGAGCTCTTCGTGGTTCCCCGTGGTGTTTTGGGGTCAACTAGAGGGACATTGCAATCTTCCAGTGAACATTTCCAGGTCCTGCAGGCCAAGTGGGATCCTTGAGGGATGCTATGGACTCACGTAGAGTGTGTCTGGGGTCCTGTGGGTCACTCTGTGGTCCTTAGTGGTGGGTCTGGGGTCCCTGATGGACACTTTAGGGGTCTGAAGCTCACTCTGAGGCCCTATGGGCTGGGTCCAGGGTCCCTGGGATCCCTATGGTTCACTCTGGGGCCCATTAGGGTGAGTTTGGGTTCATGGTGGACACTTTGGGGCCTATGCAGTGAGTTTGGGTTCCCTGTGGATTGCTGTGGGGCACAACGGGGTGAGTTCTGGGTCCTTTACAGCACTACGGGGTGTGTTTTGGGATGGAATGTTGTGATTTTAGGGCCCTCGTAGTGCCACTATGGGGTCCATACAACCCCTCACCCATGACAGAAAATACCCAAAACGCCCCAAATTCACACCAAAAACAGCACAACCTATAGCATCTGAACTCGACATAACCCTCACAGACCCACAGACCGCCAAAAATCCCCAGAATGGCCCAAAATCCCCAAAGTACCCCAAACTGTGAGGGTCACTTCTTCTTGGTCTCCTTGCAGGCGACAACGTAGCGCTGCGCCACGTTCAGTGGCGGCGAGTAACCATCAGCATACGACGTGTCCTCGAACAACACTGAGTAGTCGTCCTGTGGCTGCACGCATGGGGTGAAAAACAGCAGCAGTAATGAGCGACTGCTGGGCCCAGGGCAGGGCCGATCTGCAGGGCACACTGGGGCCGTACCCGCTGCGGCGGTGCATGGATGAGGGCACGGTAGAAGCAGGTGGTCTGCGGGTACAGCGCCAGCACCAGCTGCTCACGCTGGAACAGCGCTTCAGGGTCGGTCTCAGGGTTTGCCTTCCACTGCGGCAGAGGGATCACGCGGCGCCGGCTGAGCGTGTGCCTCCTGCAGGATGGTGGGGAGGAGCAATGAGTGAGGGTTGGGGGCGGATGAGGGGTCTGGAGAGCAGGTTTGGGGGTCTGAGGAGAGTTTTGTGGTATGGTGGTTGTGCAGAGGGAGTTTGGGAGAGCTAGAGGGCTTTGGGGAGGTGTGTGGAGAGGATTTGGGAAGGTTTGGTGAGAACTAGAAGAGGTTGGTGGGGAGCTGGGAGCATGGGGGCGTGGGAAGGGGGTTTGTGGGGAGTTGGGTTGTTTTGAGGGGTTTGAGGTGGGAGTTTGGGGGGAGTTGGAGAGAGTTAGGGAGTGATGAGGGAGTTGGAGGAATAGGGGAGGGCTTTGGGAGGGGGGTGGGGGCTGCGAGGATGTGGGGGCAGTTGTGGGGCTGGGGGTACAGTTGAGGGGTGGGGGTGCTCACTCTTTGCCCTCCTCATCGATGTCGTCCACCTCATACCTGGGGCGGGGGAAAGAAAAAAGGAAAAAGGATTAAACCACAGCAAAATGTGGGGAAGTGCTGTGACCCCAGAGCACCCCACAGCCCTACAAGGAGCAGTGGTTGCAGTGCCCCCAAATGCCCCAACACTGCCCCGCGCCATGCCCCATTCCCCCCCAGAATGCCCAAACCGCCTCCTCACCCCTTTCCACCACCCCCCACAACCCTGCACCTTTCCCTCCCCACCTCCCACCCCCTCGCCCCCTCCACACACTTGTTGGCAGCGTGGCTGTAGCTGACCACCTCAGCCAGGATCCACTGCTCGTCGCCATCCACCGCCTTGACGCGTGCCGCCACTTTGTCCCCAGGCTTGGCCACGTAGTCCCCGGCTGCCGGCATGGCACCGCACAGCGGGGGCGGCCTGGGGTTGGGGGTTGCGGGTTGGCAGGTGGGAGTTAGGGGGAGGGGTGAAGCTGGGATGGGATTTGGGGTTCTGCAGTGCAGTCAGGGGGGAGCTGGCAATCCAGGACAGGGGTCAGGGAACAGACCTTGACTTGGGGTTTGATGGGGTGCAAGGGGAGAGAGGGCAAGGGCATGGTCAGAGTGGGGTCTGGGCAGGTTGAGTTTCCCAGGATGGGGCTGGAGGCAGCTGGAGGCCTATGGTGTAGGGCAGGGGGTGGGATTTGCTGCCTCTGGATGTCACGTGTAGGGTTAGGGCTATGCTTTGGAGTCGGGGTCCAGAAGCAGCAGATGGGGTTAGGGTGTGGTTTGCAACTGGGGGCTCAGGGCACAGTGGAGGGCGGGGTGCGGTGTGGGTCTGGGAATTCAGGGCAACCTGTGGGGAGGGGTGCACTGTGGGGTCGGGGAGGGGTGCACTGTGGGGTCGGGGAGGACCTACTTGTCGCCTGGCTTGCCAATCCAGAGCGGCAGCGTCATGGCTGACTGCTGCAGCAGTGTCATCAGCACGCCCCGGCGCATCGTCTTGCGCGGCGGCTCTGCGTCGCTGTAGATCCCTGCAATCTTGGCGGCTGTGGCACAGTGGAGGGACACGGTGACACCAAGACTGGGGGTCAGTTGGGGAGGGGGTGGGGTGTGCAGGGGAAGATTTGGGAGCAATGCCAGGGGTTTGGGGCGTAAAAACAGAAAAACAGAGCGTGGTGTGACAGGATGTAACAGAACATACTAAGAAAATTTGAGAGGAATTTGGGGTGAAAGCTGAGAAAACTGGGGTCCAAGCTCACAATGGAAAAGCTGGGGGAAAGAAAGAAAAACAGAAACACACACAACAGATGTGGGAAGGAACTGCAGCGCCTAGGGACATTTGGGGGAATTTAGCAGAGTTTGGAAGAGCAGGAACAGTTTGAGAGAATTTGGGGGTTTCAACTAACTCAAAAATAGGAAAAAAAAAGTAATACAAAATACCATAGTATCAGGAGGTGCATACAGGAACTTCTAAAATGCAAAGTAATACAGAAAAAATACAAAAGGATCTGAATATGCGCTGGGAGAATTAGGGTGAAAACAACCAGAGTTTGGGGAGACACACAGAGAAAGTTTGGGTTGGCTGCACACAGGGAATGTACAGGACGAGCAGGGGCCAGGGACACACGGGGTCCGGGACACAGCCGCACAACGGAGGCTCGTACCGATGCGGCGCTCCTCCAGCAGGGACTTGATCTCGGCAATCTTGTCCAGCGCCTTGCGAAGGATGCTGCAGAGGGCCATCAGGGCAGCTGCCACTCATGGGGGGCACGGGGCAGTGCGTAGGGTTGTTGGGGTGCGGGGTGTAGGGGTGTAGGGATGTGGGGATGCGGGGCTGCCCTACTTGCACTCAGCCTCAGCGTCTGCCTTGGCGGTGGTGTACAGCCCGCGCAGCTTGGTGCGGTAGTACGGCGAGACTGGAGGGGAACGTAAGAACGGCCTGAGCCGCGCTGCCGCGGCCGCGCTCCTTTCACCCAACTCCGCCCCTTTCCTCAAACCCCGCCCCCTTCCCACGGCCCCGCCCTCTCCGCATCACCCCGCTCCCTCCCCAGAAGCCCGTCTCTCCTCGCAGCCCCGCCCCGCAGCGCCCTCCCGGTTCCCGGCGCCACCCGCTCCGCCCCGCGCCGCTCTCACTCTTGTTCTCGGTCTGCATCCTCTCGTGCGTTTTCTGGATGTTGATCAGGTTGTGCTCGCTGCGGGAGCGCTCCTCCTGTAAGGCGGCAGGCTCGCGGCGGGGGCTGCCCGCACAGCCCCCAAGCCCGGACCCCCAGCCCGGCGCCCGCCCCCCCCAGTCACCGCATCCACAGCGCAAACGCCCGCTCCGCGACTCCGCCTCCGCGTCCGCAGCGCCAGCCCCGCACCCATCAGCGCAGCCCTAAAGCCACGCGACGAAGCGCAAACCCAAACGGCCAGAGCCTCAGCCCGCCCCCGGAGCCACGCGGACACTTCGCGAGAGGCAGCAAAGCGGCTCAGACCCTCCGTGCGCCCGCGCCTCCACACCTGCGTGTGCCCCAGCAGCCGCTGCAGCTCGGCCAGCAGCTCGGCGATGCGCGAGTCCGCCGACACCAGCGCCATGACGGCGGCCACAACGCAGCGTCCGCACGGAGTTCTACGCATGCGCCAGTCTCGACACAGCACTACGCATGCGTAATTCTGGAGACTAGTACGCATGTGCCATGCTTGATGGCTCACTGCGCATGCGTCATACTGGGGAGTACTACGCATGCGCCATCCCGGGGCTAGAACTGCGCATGTGCTAGGTCCTACGTGCGCCGGTCCAGCATTACGCATGCACCACTACAGGGGAAGTTGAACGCATGCGCGATTCCAGAGGGAGTAATCGCATGCGCAATTGCAAGCTCTAGTAGTACGCATGCGCCATTCCTGAGAGAATGAGAGAGAGAGAGAGAGAGAGAGAGAGAGGACTACGCATGCGCCAGTGCTGCGCTGCACAACGCGCGTGGCATTGTGGACCCGATAGTACCACGTGCCAGCCTCGACACGGCCCTGTGCGTGCACCGGTCCCGCTATCGGCATTTTGGGACTCCCTATAATGACGGGCGTTGGCGGATTGACGGCGCAGCACGATTAGGGGAAGGACTCGCCCGGTGTGCTCCCAGAGCTGCTCTGATCCTCATCGTTCCAGAAAGCCGCCTCCCCCGCCGATCCCCGAGACTCGTCCGCCCTCGGTGCAGTCGCGCGCTTTGGCCACGCGGTGGCATCAGAGACCCGGGAAACGGCTTCGGCGATCGGGCTGACGGGGCTCGGCGCTGTTGCTTCATTCTTTTGAATTCAGGTTAACGCAAAGTTGGAAGAGGGAAGAAAACAAGAAAGGAAAAAATCTGCAAAGCCAGGAAGCCTGTGTTAATTGCTTATGAATGTATGTGAAAACAATGACCGAACTTACGTTGCATTTTTTTTATTAGTGTCAGTTGCATTTATTTAAATAGTCATGCACCAAATTCCAACTACACCGGGCACATTTAACGGTAATAGAGTGAAGGCACGTTAGCAGAAAGCACAAGACTGTATTGACATTATCTCAGCCTCTGGCTATTTTTAATGAGATTTTTTTATAAATGCCTTTTTTGCATTAAAAAAAAAATGCCCAAAATAAATCTCAGATTGCTGAAAATGTATGTGTGATTCTATTTGTAATGATGGTGATCCTGCAAGGTGATTAAAGGTGTTTTGCAAAAATCAAATGAGCCTAACCTAATCAGATCAGGAAGATGAAACAGTATGAGTCAGGTAAAGGAATGTCATTCTTGGAGGCCTTAACAAAGAAGAGGACTCTGTTGTATTCTAAGGCACACAAATGGACTCCCAGAGCTTGTCTGTGTCCGCCTAGTGTGCTCTACAGGCTTCCAATGATGTTGAAGTGGACGCAAGGGAACCCTACAGTACACCCCAAACTTCTCCGTGTCCTCTAGAGTGCCCTAAAGGCTATTCCGTGCACTCCACTGTAGCCCAAGTAGCCCTCGGCATACTCAGGGCCATACCAGACCGATCTCTGAGCTCCCTGGGCCACTCCAGGGCACTCTAGGGTGCACTGAGAACCTCCGTGAGCACTCTGGTGCTGTTACACACAGTGATGTATGGGTGGATGTGTGCGCTGCTCTGACCTCCGGGAATACAGCAGCCAGTCGGTCAGCAAAGCTGAGTTCTGGAGCATCACAGGAAATGGAGTTTTCCATTGCTGCACGTAAGGCTAAGTCATGCATTTCCAACCTGCAGGTCACATGTGGCCCAGCTCAGCTTGCGCTGTGGCTCACACCCCCTGCCGCCATGTCATCTCGGTGGCAGCTCTGCCACACAGAGCAGCCTGGCCTGCCTGGCCCCAAGACACCAGGAGAGCAGAGAGCAGCGCTGACAAATAATCACAGGATGGCCTGGGTTGGAAGAGATCTCAAGGATCAAGTTCCAACCCCTCTGCCACAGGCAGGCTGGATCAGGTTCCAACCACCAGATCAAGTACGAGATCAGGTACTGCGGCACTATGCTTAATTTGCAAGGAAGCCGTGTTATTTTTCAAAGAATACAACTTGAAAAGACATTATACGCAGAAACATGCTGCTAAATTCAATGCCTATCAAGGAATGCTAAAAAATACATTAACAATGTTCTGTTGCTCATACATGTTATGTATCCAGCCCAAGGCAACTCCTGTGCATTCAATATGGTCCAGGCAAGCCAGAAGACTGGACAATCATGGGTTGAGGCACAAGACTAAGCATCGTTCTTTCCCCCAAGGCAGCAGTCCATTTCCCGACTGTTTCATGTCACCCAGCACGTGGAGAAGCACCGCAGAACCAGACTGCAGCCTGCAGGAAGCACCAGCCTGCCCTGCAGCACAAGCATGCACGGCGCTGGGGTGAACACGTGTCACTGTGCTGTGTTGAGTCCAGTGCATGCCATGGGGGCAGCAGGGAGCCGAGACGGTCCGTTCGCAGGGCTCGACTGGGGCCAAGAATGCAGTGAGGTGCAGAGCGAACAGAGGAAGAACGCTGTGGGCTGTGAGCGCACCCCAGACCTCGAGTACTTAGTGCAAATGAAGCCATTGCTACCTGATCCTGCACTACTACTGGAAGAACAGACCATGGATTCATGAAACAGCGCTTAGAGAAAAAAGAGGCTGCTTCCACGTTTCTGTGCACGTGTTACTCCCTGTAAGACTCCTGCGTGTAGGCGCAGGCAGACTCAGTGCAGCAGTGACTGGAGAAGAGACGCCGCTTCTTCCTTCACTGCAGGCACTTGTTGCTGCCCGAAGGACCAGAGAGCGCAGGCAGCGCAGCGCCGCTCTGCTTCTGTGAGAAGGGACAGCCCTGCAGCTCTGCACACATGCATTACTTTTGGAGAGCTGCCGCTGCAGAACGCTGCTCCTCCCATCGCCAGCCCTCGTGCTGCCCCTGCAGCGGCACCGCTCTGCAAACCTCCTGCAGCACACAGCAGCAGCGGTACAGCTGGTGCCCCAGGAGAGGCAGAGGAGCGCCGCGCCGTGGGGCCCAGGACCCCCCGACAGGTGGGCTGCTGCCCCTTTGCAGGACTGCCTGCTGCTGGATTGAACGTGAGATGTAGAGAGCCAGAGCCCTCTGTGAGTAGGAAACAGCAACGTCTGTGGACGTATATCCAACACTGCACACGGAGCCCGCCTGTGTAAGACAAGTGGACCATCTGTTCCAGACTGCTTTTTATTCAGCAGCATAACACCACATCTGATGCACAAACGATTAGCAACCCACATTTTGTCTGTAAAACAACGAAAGGGATGGAATATGTTCACTATCAGAAGAAAAGAGCTCTTTTGCATAGGAAGTAAATGATCTCCTTTCTGGTGAAAGAAGAAACAGTTTCTTTTACTAATGGATATAATTTCAACTAAAATTAAGTTGTAAATACATGAAAAACAGTGTTTTCAAATATTATGGAAACTAATGAAGTAATCTTGCAGCCAGAACTTATTTCAACAGTGTTGTTACGGGTCAGTGCTGCTCATCGCTCCGTTCCGGCGCAGGACAACTGGCTGCATACTTTCTCTTCAAGCCTTTCAAATACACTTGCAAACTCTCCGAATCCAATCGCGAATTTCTAGCAGTCTGAACCAACCTCATTGCCAGGTGGTACACAGCTCTGTGCTTCATCATCTCAGGAGTGGTTTTCTGTCTGTGCTGTTCTTAAAAGCACACACACACTTTAAGTAGGAAATTAATAACTTGCTATTATTAAAATAGAAGCACTACAGGCTTTTTGCACGCTACTTCTGACCTGCTGATTCTTGGTTGGCACACCAACATTACAGCCAGCACTCCTGAACCCCACAGGCCCGTAGCAAACATCTCTTACCATTAGTTTCAGAAATCAAAATGTTACTTTCTTGATGACATCTGTCATCATAAAAGCCTATGCAGTGCTTATGCTATAATCTTTCAGAAATATTTAAAATAAATCAGAGTTCTACAAAAACTGATAATTGCAGTAGTATACATTTATAAACGACTGCTACGTACCAAAATTTGTTTAGCAACATGGTTTGTGATTGCCTTTGCATCCAGAATTATGGATGGTGGTAGAGAGGAAACTTCTGCAGCTTTTAATCCTAAACAAAGGAAACACGAACCAGGATTTAGGATAACGTTTTATTCTACCCTTCACATTATTTATTCTACAATCAGCTCACTTTAAGGGGTAAAATATTCATCTAAAAAGTTATTTTGATGTAATCTTTCTGTCTCTTTTTCCACCAATACTGTTGTAAGATTTACTGAATAAAATGTCTACTTTGTTACAATGTGGCCCCTGAAATACACTTCCACAGAAGTGGAAGGCTGTTAGGGCTGGCACTAAGTGGGCAGGATCAGATGCTCCGAAGGATGAACGGAAAACGGCACAGCAGTCATCAACAGCTTTGTCTGCTTCTTTCACGTTCAGGTAGTGCCAAATGCACTCAGCCCCGGATGTGGGTACCGAGGGGACGCAGGCGTCATTTTCCGACTTCTGCTCCTTGCCAGCTGCAAAGCTGCAGATACTCAGGGTAAAAAAACACATGAAAAGATCTTCTGCTCTAGCACGGTGTTTTGATTTTTTTTAACTGCTGTCTGTGACTGGCTGCGCAGAGGAAATTCTGTGCTTCAGGAGAAGTTCCAACAACGTACCATTAGAAATGGTCAAGAAAAGCCCCTGCACTTTTTTTTAAATTATTAAATACAACGCTGCTCAATTAAGACAAAGTCAGGACAGTGAGGCAGGACTCCTGTGTCAGCAGGAGATCTACCAAAGGTCTGCTGCTCACAGGGCTTGGAAGGGAGCTCTAGAGCTCATCAAGTCCAACCCCCCACTAAAGCAGGTTCCCTACAGCAAGTCACACAGGTAGGCATCCAGACAGGCCTGAATGCCTCTAGAGAAGGAGACTGCATGACCTCTGTGGGCAGCCTGCTGCAGTGTGCCGGCACTTTAACAGTAAAGAAGCTCTTCCTTGTGTTTGCATGCAACTGTGTTCCAGTTTCTGCTTGTTGCCCCTTATTCTATTGCTGCACACCACTGAAAAGACTACATCCCTATCTGCTTTACTCCCACAGTCTGGATATCTATAAACAG